AAGGTTACTTAGTTTGTAATGTTTTACGATATAATAATAGGGAATATACATGCTTTTTTTATTGTAGAAATCTATATTTTATTTTATTGTAGAAATCTATATTTTATTTTATTATATATAAATCTATATTTAAATCTATATTTTTTTCAAAACGTAGACGCATTTCATGGCACCAATCCACACGAGGGATCCATCGACAACAAAGCTTCCTCACTCCAAGATGTTGATGTAGGATGGTATAAATGCTCCCCGAACTAATGCCTACAATCTTTTCGATGTCCGTATATGTGATTCGTGGGTCTCCTCGCACCAACATTTCAGTATGCCATACATTTTCTGCCGATACTGCTATTTGCGGGGCCCCGGTTCTTTGGTCAATTTTAAGATTAATTTTACCACTTTGGAATTCAGCAAACCACCTAAAAATTGTTGCGCGTGATGGAGCTGAATGCTGATTGTAACCGTTGTAAACTTAATTATTCGGTTAAAGCAAATTTAAAATCATAATATATCATAGCGCGCAAATTCACGGTTCCATCATTTTAAATGAAAAGCGCGGGAAGCGTTGCAGGAAATTTAATGGAACTTTATTTTTTTTTAATATTGAGCAATGTTCTGTATGGTATTATATATTTAATGTATGTTAGTGAAAGTTGGGTCTGGCAGAAGAAGCATGAGAGTAGAATAAATGCTGTAGAAATGCGGTCCTTAAGGAGTATGCTAGTGCTGAATCTGAATGACAGGGTGAGAAATAGTGTGATAAGACAAAAGTGTGGTTTGCAAGATGACGTTGTGACAAGGATTAAGAAAGGAATGCTTCGGTGGTTTGGTCATGTAGAAAGAATGAACGAGGAAAGAGTGACAAAGCAAATTTATGTTGCAGAAGTGAACGGCAGGGTCGGGAAGGGACGCCCTAGACGAAGGTTTATCGACCAAATCGGCGATACATTAAAAATGGGCCAGATTAGGAGTACCCTTAACCGACGAGCGTGTATGCGTAGATATATGGATGTAAAAGAGGCGAGAGAGGTGTATCAGGATCGCGCCAAATGGAAGTCCGTAGTCTCTGCCTACCCCTCTGGGTGACAGGCGTGTGTGTTTATGTATGTATTATGTATAATTTTCTGCTCACCAGATGTCGCTAGTTGACACTGAGGTAAAGTTTTTTGTTACATGGTGTAATTTAATTGAGAATTTGGTTTTTAATAAAAGTTTTTCCGTTTATACTCTATTAAATTAATACACAAAACAATGCGTCAGTGGTTTGCTCTTTAATTTTTTTTGCACATTATTAACTTTTTTAAAATTTTTGTACTTTTATGAATATCTGTTGTTTGGTTTATTTATTTTAATCTTATTAATATAAAATATAGTTAATAGTGCAGAAAGAAACAGTAACCTTTACATTTTCCGAATAAATTAACTTCCCCGCTATGAAATCTGTCAAATATTATACCTCACGTTTTAGTGGCGCCGCTCTGGTGGCAGAAAATGTTGTGGATATCCTCATTGGCTTAAGGAGTTCTATTTTTTTTTTAATTTGCTTTTAAGAAATATATAACACGGGTGCGTTCCATTTTTAAATTTTGAGCATCTTAAAACTTATTGAGTCACCTTATATAAGTAAAAGTTTGAGTGGGCAATGCCTTAGTCAATATATCTGCTAATTGATCTTTACTAGGAACATAATTAATTTTAATCATGCCCAACTCAACTTTTTCTCATAGATACTAAAGAAAAGATTTATTATCAAGAAAACATTTTATTGAGAATCCAAACCCATAATATTAATAGGTTATGGGCCCAGGACACTGTTAATAGAAAGGAAAGGTAAAGAAGCATATTACAACAGCTACGAATAGTACGGAATATTCATTGACAAATAACCTAAAAATGGATACCACGCGGTCAATGAATCTCGAGAAATTTGATGGAAATAATTTTCGCCAGTGGAAATTCCAGATAAAATGCGCTTTAAAGGCAAAAGGAATTGATATCAGAGTGCCAAGAACGGAACAAAACAGTGCTGAATGGTCGAAAAATGATGGTATGACAATTTTCATCATGACTTCGTCAATGGATTTCAAACAAATAACATTAATAGAGAATTGTGAGACTGCCAAGGAAATAATGACAAAACTTGAATCGGTATACGAACAAAAGAGTGAGTTGTGTAAAATGCTAGTCCATGAAAAGTTTTATCAGTATAAAATGTTGCCGGGTGACAGTGTAGCTCAACATATCTCAAAGGTGGAATCCCTGGCTAAACAACTAAAAGAGAGTGGTGAGACTGTCAGTGACATGGCCATCATAACAAAAATTTTAGGAACATTGCCACCTAAGTACAGATCACTACGCCAAGCGTGGATGTCATTGGATTCAAAACAACAGACTATTGTGAATTTAACTGCTCGCCTCTTAGATGAAGAAGCAAGTTTAGTAGGCGAAGAAGAACAAGAAACAGCTCTCCTTGTTGCTAATAAAGGATAGAAGTTGAAATCAAAACAAAGTGAGCCGATGCAGAGTGGAGTAAATCAAAATAAAAATACCAAACACAGGTTTGAATGTTATAACTGCGGAAAGCGAGAATGTCGTGCTCCAAGAAAATTTAAGTCAAGAAAACCTCAACAAGAAGGTGCAGATATGTTAGCGTTTTATGTAGAGAATAACGCGTCTAGCACAGAAGAGAATACTTGGATTCTAGACAGTGGAGCCTCTGCACATGTGACTTATAGAAAGGAATTCTTTATGGAACTGGTTGAATGCAGTCAGAAGATAATAACTTTAGGAAACAAACAGTCTGTAGAAGTGTGTGACATTGGTAAAGTGTTGATAAAAAGATATATAAATGGACAGTGGAAATCTAGTGAACTACTTGATGTGTTGTATGTTCTAAGTCTGCGAAGAAACTTATTCTCAGAAGGTGCCATAATAAGAAGAGATTACACTATTATAAAGAAAGATTCAAATGCATTGATCTATAAAGATAATCAAGTGGTTATGAGTGCCAGGATCAGAGAAAATAATATATATGAGCTGAATATAAAAGTAATCACCCCAGATATTTGCAACTTGGTCCAGAATAATCAAAGTGATATCAAAATGTGGCATGAGCGACTGGGACATCTAAACCTAAAAGAAATTAAGAGTATGTGTGCAAATAATGTTGTTACAGGTTTGGAAATTAATGACAATGATAAAAACAATTTTGTATTGAGGCATGTGCATACGGAAAGCAGTGCAGGTTTCCATTTCACAAATCTGTACGAGGAGAACTACAACCTGGAGACTTAGTGTACAGTGATGTCTGTGGACCAATGTCTTGCACATCAGTTCAAGGAATGAGATATTTTGTCTTGTTCAAAGATGCAGTAACTAGTTACAGGCATGTATATTTAATAAAAAACAAGAGTGATGTTATGGAAATGTTTAAGAAATATAATAGTGTTGTGAAGAATAAATACATGCACAGTATAAGAATATTACATACTGATAATGGTAGAGAGTATGTAAACTAAGTTTTCAAGGAATATTTGGACAAAGAGGGGATAGTACATGAGCTAACTGCTCCTTATTCACCAGAACAAAATGGACGAGCAGAAAGAGAAAATAGAACCATAGTAGAAAGTGCTCGCTCCATGTTGTATGCAAGAGATGTTCCACTGGAGCTGTGGGCTGAAGCGGTGAGCTGTGCAGTTTACATATTGAACAGAACTTCTTCAAGCCAGACTCCGGGTAAAACACCATATGAATTATGGAATGGTATCAAACCACAATTAGGTCATTTGAAGGTGTTCGGCAGCGTTGGATATGTACATGTTCCAGATCAATTGAGAACTAAATTAGAAAAGAAGAGTAAAAAAATGATGCTTGTTGGCTATGATAATACCAATTACAGAATGTATGATGTAAATAATAAGTCAATCAAAATTTCAAGAAATGTGATTTTTGATGAACATCAAACTCCAGCAATAAGAAAGAATATTAATCAGATATGTATAACTGATGAAAATGAAGAAAAGATACAAAATGATGAAACTGAAGCAAGAAATGTGGATGAAACACTAATGGAAACTGTAGCATTACAATCTGATGACAGCTTATTGAGTTGCAACAGTGATGATCCTACATAGGAGCCGTCTCAAGAAATAGAAGATGTGCCACAGTGTAACATAAATTTGAGGCCAAGAAATAATAGACGTTTTGAAGCTAACCTTGTTGAATTGTCATTGCCTCGGACATATGATGAAGCCATACAAAGTCCACAGAAAAATGAATGGTCTCAAGCCATTAGGGAAGAATTATCTGCACATGAAGAGAACAACACATGGAGTGCGGTAACAAAAGCTGGTCAGCGGACCCTTACTACCAAGTGGGTCTTCGCAATCAAGAAGAATGAAGATAATCAGACACGGTACAAGGCTTGTCGGTGTGCACGAGGGTTTACTCAGATTAAAGATGTGGACTACCAAGAAATATTTTCTCCAACTACTAGGTATGACTCTATAAGAATTATCCTTTCTATTGCAGCAAAGTATTAGTTAGAAATTCAACAGTTTGATGTAAAGACTGCTTTTCTTAATGGGTATCTTGAGGAAAATATTTTTATAGAAGTGCCTGAGGGTGTAATTTTAGATAAAAGTTATGTGTTAAAATTAAATAAATCTTTGTATGGGTTGAAACAGGCCTCTCGTTGTTGGAACAAAAGGTTCACTGAGTTTTTAATGAAATATGGTTTTGTACAATCTCAGGCTGGTAATTGTATTTTTATAGGGGTTTTCAATAAGATAAAAGTAATTTTAATTATTTATGTTGATGATGCCCTTGTAATATCTTCTAGTAAACAACTGATCCAAGAAATTATAGAATATTTGAAACAAGCTTTTAAAATAAAAGTGATGCCATTGAGATATTTTGTTGGTATGGAAATTGAGAGAAGAAGTAATTGTATCCATATTCACCAAAGAGATTATATAGAACAAATTATTGAGAGATTTTGTATGACAAATGCAACTCCAACTAGTACTCCAGCAGATGTCAATGTAATTATGACAAAGAATGAGGATGAAAACATTATTAATTTTCCATATAGGGAACTTATTGGTTCTTTATTATTTTTGTGTTATGTTTCTAGACCTGACATATCATTTGCTGTGAATGTATTAAGCAGATATGTAAACAATCCTAGTCAGCAACATGTAAATGCTGTCAAACGTATAGTTAGATACTTAATTAATACTAAAGATTTGTGTATAAAGTATGGAGAAAGTGATGGCTTAATAGGTTACTCTGATTCTGATTATGCAAGTGATGTCGATACACGTAAGTCAACAACAGGCTATATTTTTATGATGAACGGTGGACCAATTACTTGGTCCAGCCAAAAACAAAAGACCATTGCTCTCTCCACTACTGAGGCAGAATTTGTAGCTGCATGTGAAGCAGCAAAAGAAATGATATGGCTGCGGCAATTAATGTTAGATTTAGGTGAAAATTGTAAATGTGTAACTATGTTTATTGATAATCAAAGTGCGATAAAACTAATAAATAATCCTGTTTATCATAAAAAACGAAGCACATAGATGTTAAATACTATTTTATTAGAGAAAAAGTTGAGTTGGGCATGATTAAAATTAATTATGTTCCTAGTAAAGATCAATTAGCAGATATATTGACTAAGGCATTGTCCACTCAAACTTTTACTTATATAAGGGATCAGATAATTAGTTAAGAGATTTAAATTTTAGTGGGAGTGTTAAATTTAGAAAAAGAAAATTTAAATCTGAACGCATTCATTTATATTTTTTTTGGCAGCCAGATGGCGTTGTTGCTTTGTAGAACTGTAGAACTTCTTACCGTGAATGTGCATAGATACTAAATAAAAGATTTATTATCAAGAAAACATTTTATTGAGAATCCAAACCCATAATATTAATATCATACAATTTTACAATTGAATTTATAAGTACGGATCGCAATACAGCCGTAGTGTATATATTCTTTGATACAGCAGACGCGTTATCTCGTATGATAAAAACTTAAGTACAAGTTTTTTCTGAACAATGTGATGTGCCGGAACAAACATATTTGCATTTTGTATCGGAAACATTGCTTTTAGATTATTAGATAGATTGCTTTCACTTAAAAAGGAAACCGTACACTATTTTAGGCAGAGTCATAAGTTACATAAGAGATGGCTGGCCAGTGGATAATAAATAATTAAAACCATATTTAAATAGAAAGAACGAACTTTATCGGAACTAGATTGTATAATGTGGGGTCACCGGGTGGTTATTCCTAGCGCCTGTAGGGCCAAAGTTTTAAAAGAGTTACACGACTCTCACATGGGTATTGTTAAAACTAAAAGTTTAGCACGTAGCTACGCATGGTGGCCGGGTAAAGATGAAGAAATAGAAAAGTTATGTCGGTCATGTCGAGTATGTGCAGAGACGGCGGATTTACCGCCCGGGTTCAACGTTTACATGGTGGTCATAGACGCTTGCTCTAAATGGTTGGAAGTAATTAAAATGAATTCCAAATCAGTGATTAAAGCATTACGAGAATTATGGTCGCGGTTTGGTTTACCAATACAATTAGTTTCAGATAATGGCCCACCCTTCACGAGTTCAGAATTTAAACAACTTTAGTGACTAACGGGATAGAACACACGTATTCAGCGCAGTATCATCCTTCATCCATCGGAGCAGCTGAAAATGCGGTTAAAACCTGCAAAAACGTAATTAAAAAGGGTATACAGATAGACAGGACAGAACTTAGACGTGGACGTTGCGCTCCTAAGATTTATTTTGGTATGTAGAAATACTGAACACTGTACCACGGTAGAGAGTCCAGCAAAATGATTACAAGGCCGCGCGTTACGTATGCGACTTGACTGCTTAAAACCCGAGCGAGCAGATCGCGTTCACACCTCACAGATACGTCAGCAGTTAGCATCAGGAGGTCTGCATCGGAATTTTAGGGAAGGGGACACAATTTGGTACCGTAACTATGGCGCGGGAAGGAAATGGTTAGAGGGTAAAATTCAGTGTAATTTGGGTAATACGGATTATGGAATTTTAGGTATCGACGGAATCTTACATCATAGACACGCAGACCAATTAAGACATGCGTTTAATGTTGATTTGAATGACACGCCCACACAGTGCGAGAAATGCAGGCGCAGTTCATTTAACCCATTTCTAGATGCAATGTCCAAGCAGAGCGATAAACCAGGCAAGGTCTTGGAGCAGTCAACAGGCTCGATGGAGGAGGGTGCAGGAGTCCAGGTGGGTACGACAACACCAGATATTAATAATACCATACAACCACAAAGTTATACGCCCGGACTGACACGGCGCTATCCCCTAAGAAATACGGTCTCTAGAGTTTGATTGATCACTATAAGTTAATTATTAAGTGTACCCTGTTATTATTGTTTTTATGTTAAGTTATACATTGTACTTCATTGTTACTTAATGTATTTTGTAACGTTATATTATAAAAAAACTTGTAATTTTGTTAAAATAAGGAGGAAGGTGTAATATATTATATGGTTTGTAGAGTAGGTGGCATTTAATTATAAGAGATATATGTCAAAGGTGTGTAGATGGTTAGGAAAGGCTTGTGAATAGACGTGGAACAATCAACACAAGTGTTTTATTCTACAGTAACTAAAACATTTAGTATAAGAAGGAAATTTAAATTCACAATACACAACGCAAGACACCTGGACATAATAATAAATAACTAAGCTAAATGAAACGACTACTGTACCTAAAACACGCAAAAAATACAATCGACGTTGATATGGCTTTTTCGCAGTCTTTGAGAGAGTCCTATGCATATACCTGGCAGTACACTTGAGATTGGCTGCGATACCACCAACTGCTGGAGATCTTTATGGCTATTTCCACATACAACACCCACATGAAGAAGTGGAATGGCGGGTTTCTTTACTCCGCTAACGCACTGATCCCTAGATAAATATTTTATTTTGTATTTTAAAATATTTATTGCATTCCCTCAAAAAAGAGATACTAAGGGCGGACTTAATGCTTAGAGGCCTTCTCTACCAGTCAACACCCATGGAATGGTGACAATTTGAAGTAGGTGTAGCAAGTGAAAGAAAAAAAACTGGCCAAGTGCGAGTCGAGCCACGCACGATATAAAAGTAGGGTTCCGTAGTTGCCCGTCACAATACGTGGGCTTTTTTGCTAATGAGCATAATAAGTGAGTTCGGGGTTTGACTGCAGTAAGGATTAAAAATGGGCCCGAATATGATAGCGGTATCTGAAGGACTTATTATTTTCAATACAGCCTTATGGGGATTGGCATTAAAAAATGTTAAAAAATCTTTCTGTTTTGAAAATAATACAAAAAAAAATCATATCATTCACATGCCAAGTCCGTACAAAGATGGTCATAGTTGACTATGACCAACTTTTTACGGATATTATGAGATTTCCATCTATGTACTGACTCATATCGATATCTCTGGAACCATGACGCCTTGACTTGAAATTTGGTAGAAATATTTCTTTCGTCGAGTAGACGTCAGCTATGATTCTATGAAATTTCCCCTGCTAAAATTATCCTATTTAAATTCTTCCGTATGTTATTTGCGGTTACTAATAAATAACGATCACGCTGGGAGTAACTTTCTCATTCATTTCTTTATTTATCAAGTTAGGCCCTTGAAGTAATCACTAACAAAGGAAGGTGATAAATTACGGAAGAAGGAAGAAATGTTAAATCGAAAATGACAGTGGAAATTATCAGCAGTAATCCCCAGATTGTTTGCGTTTAAAAAAAACATTTATTTTATTAACAGAGTACCTTTAGTAAGTTTCGAGTCGAACTACAGGTCGAACGCCCCGTAAAATAAAGAGTTTCATACAAACTGTAACACCATATTTCACTTCCTTAGGGGTTGAATTTTCCAAAATTCTTTCTTAGTGGATGTGTTATAAAATAAAATATGCCTGGTGACGTTTTAAAAGGCAGGAACTGTGTGAATTTCGGATTTCTACGTCTACGGGTGTGCGTGGATAGATGAGTCAGTTACTCAGGACATCCTCTTTTATATTTATAGATAGTGTTACGGCCTACGGCTGCTCCCTTACAGGATCGAATCATCAGGGGCCCATGAGCTGAAGACTTCCCGAGCAGACGTAGGTCGGGCTTCAATGTGGCCACGTGGAATCTCTCTAATTACACTAAAATATATGGGGGAGCGTTATACTACGGCCAGTCGACCGGAAGGAATTTGGACGAAGCTTACTTACCTATATCCAAGGCAACTGGTCCCTCCGGAGTCGGTCAGGTCGCATGTGGTTGTGTAGTGCAAGGGAAAGAATGGTGATGTGGTGTGTATCTGGGTGTGACTGATGGTGATTGAACCTAGACCTTAGCCGTCGGCAGCAGCCCGGTCGTCGACACCGCTCCAACTTGAGGGGGCCCTCCGAGGCTTGTCCACATTCACTTTCCTCGTTCTTCACGATGACAGTCAATTAACTCTATCGTACGATTTACTAACTTACAGAAGCCACTAACTATCGCGGGTTATAAGGTTAACACACAAAACGCACACGGAGTTTACAGTTTATTAAAGGTCACTACCGTTTCGCGTCGCAACAGTTAGTTCTAGAATATCAGAGGCCGCACTAGCTAATATTGCCTAATGCACTTATGCAGATTCTGAGTCAAACCCAATGAGTCCCTGGGAAGCTCTCCAGCAGGAATGCGCGTCACAATGATAGACCGTATATTTACTGGCCGCGCCGAATTATTCCGAGTTCCCTAACAGAATACAGCGTGCCAATCGTTAGCACCGCTTAAGGACGACTGCTGCGCTTGCGACCCGCGCGCCACTTGCCACGCTCGGCCGAACTTCAAACCGGTATCGCCGAGCTGCGCGCCCTTTAACGTCAATCCCGCAATCAGCTTTTGGGCGTAAACAGATACATAAGTTAGTATTAGTTGTTTATGTAGAAAAGATGATAGTATTAGTTGTTTATGTAGAAAAAATTAATAATTTTTAATCTGGAGGTAGCCGTGGTTAACTATGACATTGGAACGTCATACACCTCAGTCCCCCCCGTGACCATGGGTGCTGTAAAGTGCTTGAAACGTCGGGAATATAAAATAAGTTAATATATGCGATAAAATCCGTAAAATTAGTTTTATTTAAATGTGTAGTGTTCGCGTAAATATAAGAAATTATTATAGAAAAGATGTCGTTTGCGTCGCAGATCTGTTTTAATGGCTCAGATCTTTTTAACTTGATAGAGCCATGCTGCAGCTATGTTAATTGTATATACTTATAGTTGTAGCACGAATGGGGAAAGACCACGCTCTCACAAAATACCAGCGTAAAATAGCAGCTTAATGCTGCCGTGTTTTGTATGGTGAGTGTAGAGAACCGGAGACCCATTTTACTGAAAAAGAGGCATTCCATCTTAGTTCTCACGGCTGAGATGTTGATGTCTATGGGCCACAACTACAACTTACCACTGACTGTGTGCTCGTTTTTCACTTTTATTCTATAAAAGAAGGTTCTAAAATCATCCTCGACTATAATGACACAATAGCAGACAGTTCACATGATAGTGATTACAGCAGCCTAGGGACATGCGCAAACAACTTGAAGAATGGCTACTGATGTAGAGTCACCCCAGAGGACCAACATTTATTGTATCACTATCTACTCTACTCGTAGAACTTGTTCTCGGT